GTTTCACTGGAAATCTTCAACTGTTTGTTCTCATGGTCTTTGGAGTGTCAGATAGCTTTGGCTGACTTTGTGGGACAGTTTATTTACTCTTTGCCCTCAGATAAGCTCTTACAGCAATTACCTCTGCTCAGTGTCCCTTTACCCTCTAAGGTGACACATTCCCCTATTCCAGGCGCTCTACAGTCCTCATCGACGGTTCTGGAAAAACTACTAAATCGGCCGTTGTGTGGTTTGATGGAAACTAGAAAAACTTGGTCACTTCAGGGCAGCCCTCTACCCCGAGAGCTGAACTGAAAGCTGCCGTTATGGCTTTACAACCCTTTTCTTCCCAGGCCCTCAGTGTGGTCGCTGACTCTCAGTATGTGCTCTATGCTGTGCAGCATATAGAGGAAACTATTGTCAAAGACTTAAATGATCAAAACCTACTTTCTCTTTTCCTTTCTCTTCAGTTCCTCATTAGTAAATGACAGCACCCTTTGTTTATCACCCATGTTCGCTCTCATAGTAATCTTTCCCTCTGACATTAGGAAACGAAGTTGCTGATCAATTTGTTGGCTTTAGCCAGGCCTCTGAGGCTGCACAACATTCTCATGAGTTTTTTCACCAAAATTATAAATCCCTCATCAAACAGTTTCATCTCACCAAGGCGCAGGCTAAGCGGATCACCGCTGCCTGTCCTGACTGTCAGCGAGGAGCCAACAGTCAACCATCCGGGGGCGTCAACCCCAAGGGCTTATCCCATAATGGCAAATGGACGTCATGCACGTCCTCTCCTTTGGGAAACTGAAATATCTGCATGTCTCCATTGATACTTTTTCTCATTTTGTCTCCGCCTCCCTGCGTACCAGGAAACAAACTAAACATAGTATCAGACATCCCCTTCTCTCTTTTGCCTGTCCGGGTGAGCCTTGACAGATTCAGACAGACAATGGTCTGGCTATACAGCTCAAAAATTTAAACTATTCTGTCAAGGTTGGGAAGTTCAACACATTACTGGGATTCCTTATAATTCCACAGGTCAGGCCATTATTAAACGGGCCCATCATACTGAGGCGGGAAGCCCCATGCAAAGACTGGCAGGACCCCCAGGCAGGGCCACTACTTTCCCACCGGCACCATCCGGTTCCCAGGCTCCGTGGCGTTATCTCGCTTTTTGCTTCTATAATATGGCTTGCTTCTAGGAAAGCGGAAATTACCCCTAAGGTTCTATTGGCTCCCAAAGCTCACTCCTGATTGGTCCATTTGTAACTCCTATTCTGCATATGGTAGGAACCTAGCTCACTCCTGATTGGTCCAGTTGTAACACCTTATTTGCATATGATGTTGCAAAGTGTTGCGAAGTCTAGACTGGTAGCCTATTAAAGCCTGTGTAAACCTACAAACAGGGTCCAGAGCTTGGAGTGTTAACTCCTCTGGGCCCGCTGGCGTAATAAACCTGAGTTCTCCAGCTTTCAGCGTGCTGCTTGGTCTCTCGCCCAGATCCAGGTTGCTGTCACAACTGAGCTGTAACACCCTTTGCTGTAACAGCAACTAAAAGCAAATGTTGTCAAAAACAAAAAAGGGGGAACCCACCAGGGACACCCCCAGCAGAATCTTTGAGTGAAGTGTTGTACACCATTAATTTTCTTGACTGTGATGCCCAAGTCTTAGAAGCAGCAGAGGAAACACTTTATGCAGCATTCAGAGAATAGCCCAAAAGCTATAAAGTTCTTATCAAAGATAAGAGCCCTGGAGTCACCACACTGGGAGGGCCCTTCTGAATTACTTACCTTGGGGGGGAGGCTGTGCGCGTGTTATTTTGCCCTCAGGCCCTAGGTGGCGACCTGCTCATCATGTCCAGCCCTTTCTGGAGCCATCCCCTGGATTGGAGCGACCAGAGCCTCCTGACTTTAGGCCTGCAGCTCGCAGAGGAAATGAAAACTCTGAATCTGGAAGGATGGCAGAGACCAAAGCCAATGAAGCCAACGGGACAAGCCATCCGAAACGGAAAAGGCAGATCGACTCTGCAGCACCCCGGGTGGCAGCCTCCACCAGGGAAGCAGTTGACATCTCTTGGGGCCAGATAAAGAAATTAGATTCTCAGGCCACTAAGGTCCTGAGGGAGGCAAAGTACGGGTTTCTGGCATATCTGGCAGTAATTTCTCATACGGCAGCTCAGGTGTTGTTGCTTCTTTTGCTCTTTCTGTCGCTTCCCTTAAGTATAGGGCCCGTATACACTGGGCCCATGCTGTTGACCCTCCGGTTTTCCGGCGAGTCACTTGGTGGGACGCAGACCCCCCCACTTGGCACTAGTGATACTCAATGGATGGGAGGAGTCAGGTTCTCTCCTCAAAGCCACCTGTTAGAAAATTGTGATTGGCTGATGCTAAATGAAGCCGCTTCTTTTATCTCCTCTTCCCCTCCCCCGACCTGTGTGTCTAATGTCCCTTCATGCTTTTGCTTATGTGCTGAGGCCCATCCTTCTTTGCACTATTTACCTAAGACTGGCACGGAACCTGCTAATTTAACTTTCATTTTTGCTGCAGCTTTTGACGTTAATCCAGCAACCACTGCAGCCTTTCCTCCGCCTGTCGCTTGTTGTCACATGTCTAAAGAATGGAGTCCTCATAGTCAATCCATCTCTCGGGTCCCTTGCAGGGCACCCAGTCCCCGTGGAGCCCCACGTTTTAACTGTACAGCCTATGGTTGGGGCCCACAAGGACATCTTTCTGCTGATCATGCTCACGTTGGGTTTGGCCTTCCGGCCACCTCCCAAGCAGCCTGGACGGAGGGGGCTCTCTGGCCCTGTTCTACGCCTCCCTAGTGCTCGTGCCCATGGTCCCTGGCACGTCGATCCCTGGCGCGTTGCTTTGCCGTCTCTCCCGGGGCTCCAGCACGCAGGCCGCGTGTTGCTAACACAGCTGCTGCTACTCAGTTTGATCGTATGGATCTAGACTCTCACATCTGCGATCGTGTACTATTGTGTACTGCTCACCCTTGTTTTCCTTACGACATCTTCTAGTCTAAATGTTACACTTGAAGATGGATTTCACACCACCCATGCCCGGCCTCCAGCCTGGTACACTTCTCATATTAACAATGGACATTACTCTCAGTATCTCTTCTGAAGCGACAACCTCAGGTTTGGCTACCTGTTCATTTCACCCGCCCCTGGGAGGGCGACAGTGGTGTTACGAGATTAACGCATGCAGTTTCAAAGTGGAGACCGAAACGCTTTGTTGGTTGGCTGATCGCTTTTACCATCTCAGCCGTCATCATTCTTGCCACTGTTTCAGTAGCAACGGTGTCACTTACTAAATCAACCCATGCCGCTCAGGTTGTTAATCCCGTTGTGACTGATGTTACTCAGGCTAGGGTAACTCAGGCTCAAATTGGTAATGGAATTATGCATCGGCTTCGGGCCTTGGAAGCCGCCACTGGTGGTTGCCAGCGCCTGCAGTGTGATTGGCAGCGTGATAAGATATGTGTCACCCCTCTCCAATATAACCGCTCCTGCTACTCCTGGGACGTTATTAAAAACACCTTCAAGGGGGCTTTTCTTCTGACTGGCAAAATAGTGTCGATACTCTTTCTGCCCAGCTGCATCAGCAGCTCGTTTACATTCAAAAGGAGACTCAAACAAATATGGAACAGGAATTACACAGTAATATGAGACAGCTTAACCCCGTCAGCTGGTTTCGTGGTCTCAACCTCCGCCTCTGGGTTATTGTTGGATTCTGTACAGTGATCGCTTGTGTTTTTCCTACAGTCTGTGAGGTGATTTACTCCCTTCGTGCCTCTTTGAATCAGCAGCACCAGGTGATGATGTCCTTTCTGCGACCAAGAGTGATCTCCTTCAATCAAAACGAAAAAGGGGGATATGTGGGAGCCCATGACTGGGTTAAGAAATTGTAGCAGACCCCAGCCGCTCGTCACCTTTAGGAAGAACGCATGTCTTTGCTAGCAGGCACCAGCGCAACCACACTCCTGTCTCCTTGCCATAAAAAGCAGAGACAATGCCTTGCTTGCATAGTTGAGGTTTTAGCCTAGGGCGGCTTCCAGTGGCAAAGCCATTGTGTGTCCCTTGCTATGTATGCAGGCAGGACACGGCTTGTTTTAAGCATAGGTCTGTAGTTCAGGGTTTACTCTGCTCGTTGCAAAGGAACAACCTATGCCCTCAGTGATAAACACTGGGCATGCTTTCTGCTTTTTGGATAGTCTATAACCCCCAAGACAAGAAACTGGCTGGTCTGGTGGTCTGTTTTGTAATCAGCATCTTATGTCTGAAGAGTGTACCTTGTTCCTCTCTCCCCATGTCTGTCCTGAAGATTAATTAAGCCTTTGTGCTCACTGTGGATTCTGTAATCTCTCCCAGATCCTGCCTTTCCTTAAGCTCCTACATCCCATGACACAACTGTTGGTGATTTTTCCTTTGATTGTACACAATAAGTGTGGGAGCATCTGAGAGGCTCGAGGAATTGGTCCCTGACTCCCTCTCGCTCTCTAGACTTTCCACAGAGTCTCGAGTAATTCATATCCTCTCGGTGGGACTTCTGCTGGACAGAACCCACATCCCAGTCGAGCGTGGCACCTGGTGGGGTCTGGGGATTTAGCCCTCCCTTCCGCATCAGTTTGCTCACATTGTCTTTGACACACACCCTTGAGATGTTCTCCATCTTACATAAAGTGGTGAATAGAAGTGTCCTCAGGAAACGTGTTGATATAAATCTAAAAGTGTGTATGTCATATAAACCAGCTGTAAGAGGGGTCCCCTTCGGCTGTTCCCACTACTCCCCCAGATTGTCCCCTTAAACCCCTCCTTTGTATAATTTCCAGGGCTCCCTTTCCTGCACTGTACTCAAGGCATCCAGCCCCCGCGCCCCCCACCGCAGCAGGTCACACTCAGTTCCTCCCCTCCCTTTATCCCAGAAAAGGCAAAGCCCGCTGGAGCTGGGCTCTCAGCCCCGGGCACCTGTAGGTAGGTCCCACGTGCCAGGTTCTGGGTACCAGCCCCTGCTCACCTGCAGCAGCAGCAGCAGCAGCAGCGGCAGCAGAAGCAGCAGCGAGGTGTGGACCCTGGTGCTCATGCCCACGCAGGGATGCCTGGAACGCCCCCAGAGCCCGCGGGCAACGCAAGTCCTCCCAGGCTGGTGGGCTCGCCTGGAGCCCATCCTTCCCAGGCACCCTCTCCTCCAGTCACTCTCTGGTCACTTTGTCCCGGACACTCTCAACTCTCTCCTCCCTTCTCCCTGGCCGTTCTTGAGATTATCCAAGCAGGGCGGGCTGATCCATCACCTTTAACCTCATAGGCCACAAGCGGAGTTCTAAGGAAGGGAGTGGAGGAAGAGGAAACTGCCCCAGCCCCACATGCAGCAGGGAGCAGGCTGGGCTGTGACCCCAGGAGATTAGGGCTTAGTCAGAGGAACATGAAACCAGCATCTATGGGGAAGTAGAGGTCAGGTTTCCAAAAATCAAAGGAATGCCCAATGATCTCTCTCTGTAGCACGGCATTTCAGGGCCTGCTTCCTATAACCCTTATCCTTCGAAACCAAAGAACTGGAAGAGGAGTCCAAGAAAGAATAACTTTATTAAAGGAAAAAAAAAAAGAAAGAAAGAAAAAAAAAAAGAAAAGTGAAAAAAAAAACCCAACTTTTACTTTCCAAAGAACAATCTTTATCCCAACCATATCTCAGGGCTCTGGGGTTTACAGACTTTTACACTTAGATGAATCTGCCTTTTTGAGTTTTGTATTAAAGAGGGAGGAGAGATGGGAAGGGGACTCCCTATGGGTAGGGTCTCTGTACCAGCCTGGGGATCTCTGCATTATAATTATGGAAAAAGAAAAAGACAAGTTGGGAGTGTACTGTATCAATGCTTAAAGTTGCAAAGATGAAGTTTAAAACAATGTGACATCCTTTAGTTCTCATGACCTTAGCGTATGACCGTGTGATCACATTCCTTTGTGTAAAATAGTAAATAGTCTTTAGCAGATGAAATAGAGGGTAGATTTTCTTGTCTTAAGGTAATAGTTCTACGAGAGGCTACCGAATGTTTTAATTTGAATAGTTCATTATCTGAATCCCAACTAATAGTTTGTTATTAGAAAGAGTAACAGGCATGATTTTTAAGGTCTCGATATTGTTCCTGTGCATAAAGAGAAGCAGAGTAAAAATGATCAAATTTGCAACTTTGTGTTTCTTTTCAAAGTGGATATTTTTATAACATGGAAGTCTGTAGAAAACCTTGATGAAGTTGGAGTCACTGATTTAGCATTTGCAGATCTCAGGTGAGCTACACCATGTTGAGTGTTCATGAGAGAAACCAGGTGCAGGGTGTGCGCCCTCCTGCTGGCGGTGACCCTGCTGCTCCAGGACAGTGTGTTGTCCTGCGGAGACCTGGAGAGGGGCTGGGGAATGGGAGCAGAGGCTTCCACTTCTGTGTTTGCTTTGTGTTGAAGCAGTTGGTATTTTAATATATTAGAAGCAACCACATTTTCAACATCCTCACTCACTGGAAAATAACTGAGCAAGAAGCCAGTTTCCCGTAAGGCAATCCTTCTCCACTAGGCAGTGACTCGCTCAGCTGGTGGCTCTGGGCCTCACCTGCCGCACGTCTTAGGTGAGTCTGAGCTAGAAGACGCCAAGGTCCCCTCTCGGTTCTGAGTATCCAGAAAGTGTGAGTGTCCCTAGAAGTGCAGTAATACATTGTGGCCACAAGGTGGCAGCTCCCAGCTCAGTGTAAACTGATAAATGAAGAAAGTGATGGTGAGATCAGTTATTTGATTAAAAGAAAGGCAAAGGTGACAACTAGTTATCTAGACTCTACCTTCTGACCTTGGGTGTTGAGGGGTGCCTAACCCACCTCAAGGTCTCAGTATTTTTTGTGATGATAAAGTCATGAGTGCGTCTAAGCAGATTAATTTTGTCTTTAATTATCCGTGTCAGTCAGGGTCCCTGAAAATGCCAGGCTTGAACCTAAACATGTTCATTTTCCATTAGCAAGGAGTCAGAGCATGGGCCCACCGTCCCTGCTGCAGACGGATAGGATGCTTTCTTTCCACTTCAGGAAGTCAATGGATTTTTCCGGTGAACAGAATGGGAGCGTCCTGAGGATCACTGTAACTCATGGAATTCACTGCGAGACTGGGAATCGGGCGCTCCATCCTGGCTCGGACTTCTGCTTGGACGGTGGCTGGATGATCCGGCCCTGGGCCCAGCCAAAATGGAGGACATTGTGGTGGACAGACAGTGAGAATCAGAAGGATAACAGAAAAGCGCCCGTCCCTTCCTCTGCTGGCATGGCGAGGAGACAGAATTCCTCGTGTGGGCCAAGTTAAAATGGAAGAAGGGGATGGTCAGGGATGAGGTCCCCAGAGGGATGCTGCAGGTGGGGAGGGGAGGACACCTCACACGTCGGGAGGGAGGCCCAGATTTGGCCACTTGGACGCCTTCTCCACGGAGGTGAACCAACCTCCATGAATGGCTGGAAGAGCATCCTGGAGAGAGGGAGCAGAAGAGGGAGGGAGGGCAGCGTCCAGGGGGCCCACACCCACACCCTCCTCTCTGTGTCTGGTGAGAGCTGGAGATAAGAGGGGCCCTGCCATGTGGAATGATCACATTTCAGCAAAATGCAAAGAAACTATTGGAGGCTCTGGAGAGAGACCACGGCGGCAGAAACTGGAGGAGACAGGCGGGCAGAACCAGGTGTTAACGTAGGATCCGGGTAGTGAGCACACAGCTGGTACCTGCATGGTTCTTTCAACTATCCATGTGCTCAAAATTTTTGATAAAACAATGTTGTGGGAAAAAAAAATCAGAAATGTGAATTCAACTCCAGCAGTTAAAACAATCCAAATTATTACTAAGTGTAGTTTTACCCCAATGTCTAATACTGTGTATCTGGTGGTACCCCAATTTCTAACATGTGTGAGAGCGAACACATCTAACGTGAGAGTAGAAGTCATCATTTATATTTCCAGATTTATTTTCAGTGACTCAGAAATGTCTGTCCCTTCTCTTGGGTGTTTCAGCTGTCACACCGCCTGATCAGAAAGTGATTCCTCATGTTTCAGTATTTGAGTCAGCCCCCATGAGCTGGCCAGAAATTTTCCTTTGAGAGATTTTACTCTCTTGCCCCTATTTATTCAGTTAATCATTGGAGATGAGCAATTCGTGGGGGTGGGGGGGCGGGGAGGGGAATGCTGCCAAATACAGCAGACGGGAGTGCTTCATGCTTTTTGCAAGTGTAGTCTAATACTAATAATAGACAGTAGAACTACTAAGCTCTTTCTTCAATTGTTTATGTATGTAAATGTTTTTGTGCTGTTTTAGGGAAGGAAAAGGGAGATAAGGAGAGAGAGTTGAGGCTGTTTGTCTTCCTACACCAAAACCATCCTGTCGAGGTAAAAATACATACTTCTTTGTTGTTTAGAACATTTTTGATCAAACTTGGTAGATCATTCATTTCATTATTGCATAAGACCTATTAGCAAAAAGCATTTCATTCCAGTATTTAGAAGATTGAACAGCCTAGGAAAAAAGCCAACCCTTCCTTTTCTTTTCCGCACTTTGTTAAGGGGGATGTCTCCAGAGAGATGATTTTAGAGGAAAAGATTGGTGATCAGTAATGGTGACTTTTCCAAACCTGGCCAAAATGTCGAATGAAGTGTGTGAAAAAGTCAGCTGAAGGCCAGGTGAGCTCTCCACACCTGGAGTGTAAAAATAGAAGAGTGTGGATGTAGGAGAAATGTGCTCAGGGTGGAAACCTCCATGTCTTCCCGCTCATCTGTGGCACAGGTCAGCAGAGCCATGGAGCACTCAGGTCAGTGACCTATTCTTGAGGCAAAGAGCCAGCTAAGTGCCTTTAAGCCCTGGAGAAAGTAGACTGAGATCAACAAAAGATTTGGTTAGTGGCCAAAGTGAGAGGTGACTGGACTAGCAGGTGAAATGCTGTCAAAGCAGCCAGTTCAACCTTGCAGGCTCTGAGTGCCTTAAAGGCAAGTTTCTGAAACATTAACCTCCAAGGATCTTGTTAAAATGCAGATTTTGATTCTGCAGGGGAGGTCAACTTTTACCTTTGCTTGTGGGGAAGGAAAAATAGTGTTCCCCCTACCCCTCTATGCTCTTGGCTGAGACTCCCTGTAATAAAAGATTAACAAGAGAGAAGCCAACAGAAGTTTAATACCCTGTCTCCCTCCCACATCCATGGGAGAGGCCCAGGGGCAGTGGGGCACGTCCAGAAATGGTCCAACACACCACCTTCAATACCATCTTCAGCTAAAGACAAAAGAAGATGTTGGGGGTTGGGAAGTTGTCAGGAAAAGCACAAGACAGGAGAGGGCAGTTGTTATGCAGATTTAAGTCCAGTGTGAGAAGAGCTGATAAGATTGATGAGCTTCTGGGTTTAGACATCCTCCTCTTCCAGGTTCAGAGGAGAAGATACCTTTGCAAATGGAGATTTTCCCCTGATAAATGTACATGTCTCTTACAAAAGGGTAACTTCTACTGACATTTTCAGAACTTCTCCCATGCCTGTTGTTTCTTAAAAATAATCAGCTTGAAACCATCTTTATATGAAAGAAGCACATTTGTGATGACAGATGCCGTCCCCCTTCACCCCCTGTTCTTTTTGGCTGGGCCTATGAGTTACAGTGACATGAGACAGGTGGACACAGAAAAGCACACCCGGGTATTTAGTACAAGTTTTATATGATGTGGGAGCCCCAAGAAATGGTGAAACTTACTTGCTTTAATATTAGGCTGAACAAAGAGGGCAATTGTGGAAAAGTGATGAAGGGAGGTGGGGCGGCTGGAGGGAGATAATTATTTTAACTAGTAAAATGTGTGTAGAATTCTCTCGGTCTCAACTTCTCATTGCTGATGATAAAACTGTTCCTCTCCTCCCGGTACAGGGAGCACATCTTTCATACAGGAATATCATCTCCTGCTTTTAAGAAAAAGAAGAAAGGTAAGAGGAGTTTCCTTGTATTTGCTGTTTTTCAAGTGCCTCGAACTCAAAATAGTCCATAAGCCAGCGTGACCTATTTTGGGGCTGTGTGTTCTGATCTCGTCCCCGTTCAGCGGGGCTG